TAATAATATTAATTAACTATTAACTAACAGCACACAGCGACACAGTTAAAGAATATATAAAATCAATAATAGTCTCCAAACAGAAACAAGTTGGCATCATTTAAAGATATCCGTAGGTCATTCATATTTGGCAATATAATTAGTATGAAAACTTCACTTATGGAAATGTAATGCAAACATTATCAGGGCGAGGCGCATGCATATAGCACACAGCCTTCTTCAAACCTTGCACACAACCATTAGGTCGCATACTATCCCATCGCCCTTGGCAGATCTGGCAACAAAAGTCACGAGAACACCATCAGAGCATATGACAGACTAGGTACCCCAGAAGGCAGAAGTTAGAATTCAAGGACCATTGGATCGGGTCCCAGTGGCTCAATGGTCTACGAGCTCGCCTTGTAACCAGAAGGTCCTGGGTTCGAATCCCGGTGGGTGCGTACTGCTGAAGAGTCCCAAACTAGGGCGAAACAGCTGTCCAGTACTCCCATGTTTTCCAGTGGTTCTCTAACTGATGTCAGCTCATGATTAAATCCTCCATGTAATGCAAACAGTTTATAAAGGCGTATCTTTGCATCGTGTTAAATAACAATATCATGTAAGGACTGCTTACATTCATCACAGAGGTACACATAGCATAAGTGAAACGTCTTGTAGTAATGTGACGTATTTTTAAGCGTTAAATAGAGAATGACAGAAATGAGTGGAAAGGTAAACTCATTAACCGCCTGCATTTTCCTTGCAGTTGGCTATGAGAGATAACTGACACTACCTGGTGGTAGCGGCCCGAAACCTCATCAGGTGGAGTTTGGTTCCTAATCCGTGATTCAGGAGTCGATAATGGAGCGCCAGTCCACCAAGCTACGGCTAATCAGACCTTGATAGGTCAACGTAATGTCGATAAGAAGTGGACATAATATGCTACGCCGTATCCAGAAATAACGCTAATAGTAATAGTCAAGATTTATGGGGTAGTTTAACGAACAAGTTGAATATAATTCGTAGATCACATGTAATATGACTTCGACGTGAGAAATCTTTGTTTACGAAGAAGAGCCCGTGCAACGCTCTGTATGTATGCATACATCTTGGGACTGTTGACATCACAATTGAACTTGGATTATTGTGTGCTATTCTACACATAACGTAACAGTTAGATCACAAGAGAAAAATGCCGCAAAGTTTAATCATTCCTGGTATGTTCTTAAGTTTCAACAATAATATCACAACAGTTCAGAAGGAATGTCCGAACCATTTCTTAATGCAACTGGACATTTGACAAATGTAAAGTGTATATCAGACATTCTAAAATTTATATTCATGGGATACAGGACACACCGTCAGACTTTTTCATCAGGTTGTCTAGTAGATCTATTTTCTACACTAACAAATCGTCAAGGCAGGCGGAAATATTTCCAACAGTACCACCACAATAAAATAATGTATGAACGATAATTGATATGAGTATAAAACTTGGGCACTGTGGTAGGGTATAACTCCATTATAAGATTTTATTTTGATAAATCACACAGTGTTGTACAGTTATATTAACTGATGACGTTTCGAGCACAAACTATTTCTCATAATCACATTAAGTCACTCACACCTATCACAGTTACACTCAATTATAATGATAATCCTCAACAGACCCCTACATGGTTGCATAAACCTGATGAAGGTTTTACGCAGTATTATACATGTACCATGAATTTCACTGTGCGTATACATTTGAATCGGCTAAATGCTAACCAGTCACATGCGCGGTCCAGGTTCGATCCCGAACCGATGCACTCTTAAACCCAAAGTGGATGGTTTCAAGGCCAATAAAGAAGGAAAATTGGATGGGGGTGTGTGTGTGCTAGCAATCCTAACCCATGAAAAACAACACAAACACTAGTGAAACCTCAAAGCTTCAGACTGAAGCCCTATCTTCCACTCAGAACGCAGACGAATAGGAATAAAGTAATCACTTCACGAAAGCTTAAAATGAATAGATTAAAATGTAACCATATTCTCAATAGTTGGTTCGTAAGGATTAGATTTGTTTTGACGAGTTGACCACAGATTATTATCAGTTAGAGAACCATTGAAAATCAGGGGTTACTGGACAGGATGGTCGGGGGTGGGTGTCTTGCGCTGCGGGTTGGCCACCCCTCCGTACACCTCTTGAAATGCTCCCATATGACCGGGCGTCTTACATAGCCTCTCCTGAGGAAGTCCTACTCACTGCCTTCACGTGGCGGAGGTGTTTTTCACCAAAGTGAGAGGGCAAAAGCGGATGCCCGGCGCTCTTCACCGGGTTGACTGTCCATTGGATGACAGTCTAGGGGAGATGGCTAAATCCTGATTCCAAACCTCCAACGACTGGCGTATGAAGCTCACCGGCAGACGTTTGGACAAAGGGCTTATTGGATGCCCTGGATGACTGGCCCCATTCAAAAAGGCGAATGAACCGGACTCCGGTCACCGGCTGCCAATGGATAGTGGACTCCTTACTCCACTCCTACTGCCTTGTAGGTCACACTTGGCTGTGTAAAGGCTAGAGCTGCACTCTCAAACAAAAGGCCGAGCGATGCTGGGGACATCACTCGTACCAAATTCCCATGAAACTTCATGGTTCATGAAGCCGGCTCATCCTCCCGTAGGAGATAGCCGAAGTAAAGTAAAGTAAAGTAAGTAAGTTACTGGACAGCTAGCTGTTTCATCCTAGTTTGGGAATCATCGGAAGTACGCATTCACCTGACCGGGTTTGAACCCACGACCTTCCGGTTACAAAGCAAGCTGGCTCGTATACCATTCAGCCAATGGGACCTGATTAAATGACCAGCCCATGAATTCTAACTTTAGCACGAAAACTGTCCAGTGCTCCCTAGCCTTCAACGGTTCTCTAACTGATATCAAGCCGTGATCAACTCGTCGTAACCATATTGGACTAATGTGCATATAATATATATTTATGATACGATTATCAGTGTGTTGTTAAAAAGTGTAATTTACATTTTGAAAGAGAAAGATCTCATCAAAAAGAGAAATAAACAATTTTACCTTTAAGTGTGAAGCACTCCGGTAAACTACTGTATTAATGATAGAGAGATTGACTGAATTATGCAGTCTTTATAATCGACAACTTCTTGTTTTCAATCCTTTATTTGTCTTCTAATCTATCAATTATTTGCAAATAACTATTCAACAGTTAATGACTTAGTTGTTGAATCGCTTGATTACGTAAAGATTATTCACTATTTTCATACACTGAATTGTTTTGTAACTAAATGTCAATTAGGATTATATATATATATATATATAAACCCCACTAACTAACTAACTAACTGACTACCTGTACAGCTTTGCAGTGGAGATAAGAAAAGGTTCTTCATTGGTTGGCTGATTTATATAGTTCTTAATTATTTATGAATAAATTATTCACAGTATAATACCGGTATTAATCAACACTATACGCTGATGGATCACAGGGAGAAAAATAGGAAAGTAAAAACATTTTACTCTATTCTCCCTTTATCATTCTATAGAAGGATGAACTATTTTTTCTCTTTTGACGAGTAATACATTTCAATAATCAGTCATCATTGATTGATTGAATAATTCTCTTTCTGTCTCTCTCTCTCTCACCCTCTCAAATTATACCATACTTTGTATTTAATTGGTGGATAGTGACTATCAGTGGGATCCAGAAGGCGCATTTCGCCCTATTTAGGACTCGTCATATGGATGCACCTGCATTTCTCAATGTTCCCACCGAGGCTCGATTCCACTGCTAGTCACCATCCACCAATTAAATACTAACTAAATGCCCAGACATCGTCGAAGCATCTGCTCAAGAAGCCGACATGTCAACCTGAGACCGAGCACTTCGGTCTAATCAATCGATGGGAAAATCTCAAATTCAATTAAATATATCATACTTTCTCTAAAATACGAAATTTTCCGAAATGAAAATCTCATAATCTAAAATTACTGATCACTAACTGACTGACATTATGGCTTTTTTCTTAGGGTGCCTGCAACAGAAACAGTATATTAGGATTGTATGACCGCAGAGTCCAGGAGGCAACTGCTTGATACCGGTAACACACACACAACAGGCGGATACACACCGCCCCAAGGCAAATCAAGATGTACAATTTCGAACTTTCAAACCCACCTCCGTTTTCAGAGCGAATAGGCAGGGTATCTGCCATGCTGGGCGCATCTGCTGCCACATCTCGATTCCCAGAAGTAAGATATATGTAGTGTGAATAACTATGATGCCTACTATTTTTAGCCTCACCGGTATCCAAACAACTTTTCTGGCCTGGAAGGACTTGCAGGAATCTTCGTTCCGGCTAATTTGGTTTATTGGGTCATTGTGACATGCAAACCTGACCACCAACGTCAAGGCGGTAGTCGCCATCGGTCGCGACTTATCACCCTAATGTTCACAGTTATTTACTGATTGAGTCAAAATTTGTAAACAATTCCGAGACAGTTTAGAGAGAGAGAAAGGAAAGATGATAGTCTAAGCTTTAGTTTTGCATACCAAGAAACTAGTTCAACTGTTCTCTCTCTCCCTCCTATTCTTAGCCATAATTCATTTTTATATTAACTTATTATTCACACAACTCAGACCTTAACTAATATCACAGCGTTTTACATTTCCACCATGCTTATCATGATGATGATCATGACGATGACCATTAATAATAATAATTCATTCCTCAAGCACTTTGTCTATAATAGTTCATCTTCAGCATGCCTCCCTCCCCACCACCACCATTGTCTATGTTATTTTATTTTTGAGTACAGCTTGATTCCACACCGTATTTTTGGTACAAGTGTGGAATTTTCAGCGTGGATATCGGTAGCCCAAAATTCGCAGGCCGACCATAGATATCAAGTGTGCGTCGGCGTGGGCTCGAACCCCGGACCATGTGCATGGCCGGCGAAAGTCCTAACCACTGTGCCACCGACGCACAGTCTTCTGATTTATACTCAACCAATCATTAATAAACTTCGCATTTATCCCTACTAGTTACGATAGATAACTGCGATTGTTCAGCTATGATAAAGTAAGGCAAAAATGAATTCATCATTCTAATAAATACATCTCTCTTTGTTGAATCGCATGTTTTCTCTTTCAAAATGATAATGAGGATGAATATTAGTAAAAAAAAAAATAACAAACAAACAAATAAAATGAAAAATGTGAATAAACAAAACCGAGAACAACAAAACAGAACATAACAAAAAAAACTGGCAACAATCCTAACGACAACAAAGAATGTATGTATTCACAAATACAAATAATTAGGTAGATAGGTAGGTGTATTTAACAAAATCACAGCAAACGAACAAAGGAAGAAAGAAAAGCAACAAGTATTCGACTTACAAAAATCACTTGGTTTCGCTTGAGATAAATCTTTGTAGAAATCCGTTCGATGTGCCTTTTTCAAGCCTGTACATAAACCGAAATCGCTAAGTTTAATATGACCCTTGAGTGTGTGTGTGTGTGTGTGTATAGACGTATGTGTAATATGCACAGATGTGTATTGAATCCGTGTTTCAATTGGCATTCGATGTGTACAGAGTAGACGGAGTAATACGGTGGTGGTCATGGTAATGCAGGTGTGTTTAGGAGTAAAAAAAGGAGAGAAGAAGAGAAAACAATGGGATGAAAACAAATAACACCAATATATAACAAAAATATATCCCTAAAACAGATAAACACACCTTAATCAAACGGGAGGATATCTAATACTTGAAAAAACAACAACAAAAATAGCCTAAGGCCCACCTATGCTACTAAATACAAATAAATATGTACACGTCGTCCATATATATATATATATATATATATATATAGTACACCGACAGAGAGAGAGGACTTCGGTTGCTTGTTAAAGGCTATCAACAAGATGCCTTATATCATCGATGCAAAAAATATCTTTTGCTCCCTTTGTGGAAATGAGATGATAGCCTTTCATATTTTTTTCAGTGACTAACGGCCTTTGTGAATTGGCCATACTGTGAGGAAACCATCAAGTGACATCACTAGACAAGCCATTGATTGAGTGGAACCCGAAAGGGAAGCGGCGAGTTGGTCGTCAGTGCAAAGGTGACTTGGAGGACGTCATGTGAAGAGGAGATGAAAACATGTAGGCAGACTTGGAGTCAGGTGAAAACTCTAGTAGAGAAACGAACGCAATGGAGACACGCGGCTGAAGCCCAATGTTCCTCTAGGAATTAAAGGAAATAATAATAAGGGCGTTTGCTGAGCTATCCACTTTAATATACAGAAAAATGTACGATGTGATAACACGTCCTGGTCCTCCACCCCACAGTTAGATGACCGCATTATAGAATTTTACTGACGCGATTCATTGAGTAGATAGAATTGGATAGTAGGACATGGATTACTCTACACTGACACAGATGTATGCGCATCCAAAGGCGATATAGAGGAGATCGTCTGAGGAGTAGATGAAAACTTAGGCGTAATCGTGCAGTCAGCTCAAAGGAAAAAGTAGAGAACAAAATGAAATGGAGATGTACTGTTGAAACCCTCTACTCCCAAAGAAATCATAATAATAACGTACATGTTAACCATAAATTATCCAAACTTCTTCGAGATAACTACTGTATATGCTAACACTTTTAGAGATTAGTCAGTTTGTTGGGAATTCGTTATCCCGAACAGACTTTTTCCGTACCCAGAGCTGACGGCACTATTCAACTGACCGACCTGAAGAAGATGACGTGGGATTCGAAACTGGGAGTTGCTATTTGAAAGTCATGTGCTGACGCTAATCAACCACATCTCCAGCAATCAGTCAAATAAAGTTACTTTATTCAAAGTTAACGGATTCACTTTTCTTATATATCTCACTTGTGTGTATGAACATGCATACACATTGAATATTTATTGAACAAGATGACTATTAAACATAATGGATCTCTTCTCACAATGAATGATAGAACATTTTACATTCTACAAACAGCTATATTTTTTTTTCCTTCACGTTCCCCAGTGGAACATAGGGCTTCAAGGTAGAAGACTTGAAGTTTCTGTAGCAGTGTTTATTTTTACAGGATGGGGGTGCTAGCCTCATGCCCAACCTTTCCTCTTTACCAGCATTATTTCTGGCTTAGCAAGGTAAAGGAGTGCGTCGAACCCCGGACCATGTGCATGGTTGGCGAGCGTCCTAACTGCTATGCCACCAACGCACAAAAGAATTAGAACTGATAAAACAGGGACCGTGTATCCAGTTGATAGATTTCAGTTCAATAATTTGACAAGTCAATTAAAATGACCTTATTTTATGACTTCACAAAAGTAAGCTTGCTACATAGATTTTATTTTCAGCATTTCATCTTTCATTTTAAATGTCAGTCACACTATTCAACACTCTGCAGGTGAAAAACTATCGCACGACTTTTCACTTTGTAGAGATTAATAAGCACCTATTGAATCCTATTTACGATGGCAGGAGATAGTTTGCTCACTAATTGAAATAGTGAGACATATATAAGGATATTTTATTCTTTACGTAGATTTGGTCAAACTCAGACTTCAGGAGAGAAAACCACGCAAGGGTTAACAACAACTGCAACTGAAAAAAATACCTTCACGTTACGAGGCGAACACGTTGACAACTCAGACATTGGGTTGGAGTCCAATGACTGAGGATTTAGACAGAATCATTATACTTCTAGAGTAGAAAGACACACTCATCCGGTGGTACTTGATTTTTAATAATTCAGCAGACCGATGTCAGTTCGTAATAAAATCCACATGGAACTTCCTTGACAAGCGTTCCAAGGTTCAACAGTTCTTTCTAAATGTCTTTATTTTCCAAGTGGAAGTTTATGCAGCGATGGTATTGCTAGTCTAGACGAGGTTTTAGGAGTGCATTCGCCGGGAATAGAACCCGGAGCATATGTGCGGTTGGTGGGTACTTTATTCTTGTGTAGGGATCATGAGTGTCTTATTGCATAACTTAGTCACTTCCACTTATTTCAGAAATATGCAGGTCAGTTGGTCAGAAGCTTTTTATAAAGAAAAACAATCACTCTCCTCCAATGATGTGATAATAACGCTCACTTCCCTATAGAAATATTTACCGGAAACCTAGTTTTTTTTATTTTGATTGCAGCTTGATTCCATACCGTATTTTTCGGTACAGGTATGGAACTTTCAGCATGTGATATCGGTAGCCCAAATTTTGCAGGCCTACCATAGATATCAGGTGTGCGTCGTCCGGGGATCGAATCCCAGACCATGTGCATGGTCAGCAAGAGTCCTAGCCACTGTGTCACCGACGCCTAACAGTGGAATTCAAACAGTGAATGAATAAAATTCAACAAAGGGGGAAAACCATTTTAACCTCTCAAAGAAAGAGGAGGTGTACATAAAAAAAACATTAAAAAGAAAATAATCTACTCACTTTTGCATCAAGTAGCAAATTATCCGGTTTAATATCACGATGAATGAAACCCATTTTATGAATTGAATCAATAGCTAGAACAGTTTCTGCTATATAGAACTGTGTTTGAGGCTCTGTCAGTGTATCACGTTTCATTAACAATGTCATCATATCACCTAAGAGAGAGAATGAAATATATTTAAAAATATGGATGTATAATGAGTTAATTATACATATACATACATACATAAAGGATATACAAAAATTAGATATTTTACGATATATATTACCTATTTATTTACACTTATATGAACTGCTGCTGGTCTAAGTAAGCTAAGCAGGTAATACATTAACTAGTACATATATATATTCAAGCTGTTCAACAATTCTCTTCAAGGGATAAAGAAGACAGTTAAAGTGATTTGCCAATTAATACATCATCACAAGTAAAACAAGTGAAGTTGAAATTATTGCACAGTGGTTTACTTTATCAATCAACACAAATTAATTGAAAAGCAAAATGATTCCAGCTGTGTACAGCACTGAAAAACATGTTCATTTTATTATTACATTATGGTTTTTTGATTTTAAAAACAGAAAGGGGTTCAGCATTCATCTCATCATCATCATCATCATCATTATCGGAAAACTCACTAATGAGCCTACTAATAGGATAATCTTTTAAACTGGATGAGAAACACTGTGTTCGCGTGTGTGTGTGTGTGTATATATGTGTGTTAGAGAGAGAGAGAAAGAGAAAGAGTTGAAGACACTTCACAATTAATTAATTTGAGTTCTTAGATAATATGGTCGTTTCACATATGAAGATGAACTATTAAAGTGCACTATCACTTAAACTTCATGAGCAAAAAGCCCTATGCTTGTGTTTAGGGCGTGTTTCACAATTTTTAACTATGAAATCACTCGCCATACAAAGATAGAACCTGTGAAACCCTCATAGAAACAAGTTACGTCGGTTAAAAAATTCCAGTCCAAGTGGCTTAATGGTCAACGATGTTGACTTTGTGGCCTGAAGGTCTTGAATTCCATCCCTGATGGAGTTGTGTACATGTGTACTGGTGAAAAGTCGCAAGCTAGGACGAAACGGCTTTCCAGTACTCCGTCGGGGTTTTCAATGTAGTTGTTTTTTTTAACTGACATCAACCCGTAATCAAATTTAAAACAAATCAAATCCCTGCAAACCAACCATCGGAAATAATTTAGCCTACCTAACAACAACCTACAATGACTGTGAAGTCAAATATATAAATAAAAAAGGGGGCCGATGTCAATTAGATTAGCGCAGGACAAAAACAGATAAGAAGTTTAGAAAAATTGTCACCTATAGTATTTTATATGCGTCGGTGGCACAGCAGTAGAATGTTCGTCAACCGCACCCCATGTGGTCCGGGGTTCGATCCCCTGCCGACACACTCCTATACCTCGCTAAGCCAGTAAATAGGACTGGTAAAGAGGGAAGGTTGGGCATGAGGTAGCAAACCTGTCCCGAAAAAATAAACACCAATGATACCGAAACTTCGAGCCTCTAGCTTGAAGTCCTATAGTTCCACTGGGAAGTTACACTATACAACTGGGTGGAACAAGATGACAGTTTTAAAATCTAATATAACACAGAGGGAGGAAGAGGTTGATAGCTAAAGTTTTATTTATCGAATCAAACGAGAATACGTGTCATTCAATACTTGTCCCGGACATCTGGGAAATTCCCTATCCTTACGACTAAACGAGGAGGAAGAGCAAAAGCTATCAAAATCAAGTTCCGAAATTGTGTAGTTATCGCTCATATGAAAAATAAATTGTATTCGAAACATCATCCAGCAAATAATACTGACACGCCAAAAAAACACATTTAAATAGAATGAAGTGATTGGTCTGCACTGAAGTTTAGTTTATACACGGAGAGTGAAATAGTTGAATGCGTTGATTTCTTCACCTATTTGGGCAGTCAGTTTTTTATTCCTTCAAGCTTTCCCTTTGAAGTTTCAGTAGCAGTGGGGTTTTTCTACGGCGTGATGTTGCTAGCAACAAGCCCAACTTGCCATCTTTGTTGGGATTATAACCGGCTAAGGGAGGTAAGGGTGTGGATCAGTCAGGACTCAAACCCCGGACTACTACCATGGTCAGCCAGCACTTTACCACTGAATCAACGACGCACGTTTGAGCAGCCACATAGACCTGAATACACGAATACAAAATGTACATTTCCCATCGACCAACTTGAGTCAGCATATCCTGTTGCCTATAAAAAGGGCACATATACTACCGAGATTATAGAATTCTTTCCCTACATCGCAGAGATGACATCACGAAGTAAGTAATGTTACAGTCAGACTACAGTGTTGAGGAAGGAATGAGGGTAGGTCAGCCAATAGGATTACAAAGCTCTATTGACATTTTTAATTTTGAGTTAGCTTAAATAATTACTACCCTTGGAAATCCACCATTCATAATCAGAAAATTTTACATGAGCAATCAAGATTTCATTTGTACAGGAGGCATCTGAACGTGTGATCTAGTGTTTGTAAAACTTGGCAATGCTAATCCAACCGATTACACAATACCATTCATTATGTGAAATAAAACAGCTGAGATGAAAGTGATATACTGTCTAAAAATATGCAGCCAGAAATGAACAGCAAAAAAGTAAGAGGAAGAAGAATTGTTAACATTGGGAAGTACTTTGGAGGTTATTGGCCACCCTGAAAGACAGTCAAGATACACCCCACCCCCAGTGGTGGTGGTGATGGTAGTCGTGTCTCCATTGTTATTGCTCACTAATGCTTTACCATTTCTTCTCTAGGTTTTTCTGTGTATTAAGCAGGATAAGAAAGTTTAACTATCTGAACGAAAGTTAATCAAATGGATCAACACTGTTTTTCACTCAAACTCTACTATTGTGGCGTGTGCTACTGATAAGATTTATCAGTAGTCTATAAAGAGTAATGCATTAGCATAAAAATATCAAATAGCGGAGAGATTGATATGAAGTCAAGAGAGGCAATGATTCACCGTTTTGGCAAAACTTGTGAGACACGAAAAGAAGGCAAAGAAACACAATACTAGTGGGGGGGGAGAAGTAACACAGCACGGAATGTCTATGGAATTGGTTATTTGAAGATAAGGTGTACATTCTTTTATCAAGTGTCTCTTGTCTTCTATCGTTACAATACGAGTATACTGAATAAACAGAACAATGTCAAGATATGACGACTGACTGTTGCCTAGTTTGAGTCTTGCACCGCAATAAATACGGATAACAAAAAAGGTGCATACAGGCTTTAATTACTCAAAACTGTAGAAAATTTTCAGGCTGAATACCACTCACTGAATATGCGATTCATTTTAGTGTCTGAATACTACTCACTGAATATTCGGTCACGGAAAATAAATGAAGAGATAAAGTAAAAGCATCCTTTCATGTAGACATGAACAAAAGCTAGTCCTAAGCTCTAGGTAAAGAGAAGACGCTGGGTGTGAGACTGAGGACCCTAGTCCAGAAAAACAACCCAATCACTACCGGAAGTTCAACACACAGAAAAAAAGATTTCATGTTATTAATTGGCAGAAGTTAGCATTCATGGTTTGGCCATTGGATAGGGTCCCTAGTTGCTTAATGGCCTACGAGCTCGCCTTGTAACTAGAAGCTCCTGGGTTCGAATCCCGGTGGGTGCGTACTGAAGAAGAGTGCCAAACTAGGACGAAACGGCTGTCCACTACTCCTCATGTTATCTAGTTGTTCTCTAACTGATGTCAGCTCATGATGAAATCCCACAACTAAAATTTTTTTTAAAGAAAATACACTTATTCTTCAATGGATTCAGAGAGGCTTACAAGAAGCCAGTCCGCAGATATGTCTTCTTTCGGTAAAAGCATAAATGAGTATCGGGACATAGAATGCACGACTCAGAGACTTAGCAAGTCACTAAAAACATTTCGAAAAGGTTTCAAACTCTTACCAGCAGCTGATCCTTTCACTCTCTACCGAAGACCAAAAACAATCAGGAACAAGAAAAATCTAGGAATGAACCAACACCAAAAAACTATTACTCAACAGATATGACGAAGAAAAAGGAAATGGATCGGAGACACGCTAAGGAGACCTTTGAGTAGCATCGTGCACCAAGCACTCAAGGGGAACTCAACGAGTTAAGCATCCGGAGGTGACATGGACGCCACAATGTCAAGGGAATGAAAGCTTATGGACAACCGTACAGCCAGCTAACGACAGAATGAAACAGTGATGTTTCAATGAAGCCCTAGGTTGCACTACAAATTCAACAGACGAATAATAATAATAATATTAGTATTATAATAATGCACCATGTGATGCAATTTGTAAATTTACAAGTCAGCATAAAAGAAAGGATATTAGTCATTTCTCTGTATATATTAACACCTTCGAACATTAACATAAGACTTAAGGCTTTTTTATACTGATCTTTGCATAATGTAGTATATTTACATAAAAACAGAGTACACCTACACACAGACACGCACACACACACACACACAATGAATTAAGGCGCTACTCAGTGTATGCATATATCCATTTTTTGGAGAGAGAGAGAGAGAGAAAAAAAAACCATGCAAGATACACGTATAGTCTGCACTTATGCTTGCATGCGTAATAAATATTTATTATTTTTTTTAAAATTAGAAAAATCCGATTGTGCAATCCTACCAATCAATCAATCAATCAATCATTCGATCAAATCACCAGATATTGATATCGACCGATGAATGATTCGACAAAATGAGAAAGACACGAATAACCATTCATTATTTATTCACATTTCATTAATTCAGAAGGCATCAGTGCACATCACAAAATGCACAATAACAAACATAAGCTTTCACGAACGGCTTTCCTCATCTAAGTTGGAACTCATGGGTGCATTGACACACAATAAAAGAGTGTAAAGTTGTTTAAGTGAATTCTTTATTTCCTGTATATTGATTATATTGGACCAAAATGTTCAGTCTGCCTCTCTCTCTCTCTTTCCCTCTCTCTGTTGACACGTCGGCTCAATCCTAGTACGGATGCTTTACCGATGTTTGGGGACTATCATGAAGTTATTTGTTGAATGGTGACTACCAGTGGAATCCAGGATGCGCACATTTCGTATCTTTTTGACACTCATCAACTGAATGTATGTGCAATCCTCTGTGGAAGATAATGTCTCCACACTGGGACTCAAACACAGAACTTATCGTTTCAAACGCCAGAT